CTTTAAGTTCTGGAAGGCTGCTATAAGGTCTCCCTGGAGCCTGCTCTTCTCCAGGCTAAGCAGCCCCAGCTCTCTCACTCTATCTTCATAGGAGAGGTGCTGCAGCCCTCTGATCATTTTTGTGGCCCTCCTCTGGACCCACTCCAACATAGCTTCTTCTTGTGTTGTAGTCCCCAGCACTGGATGCAGCACTCCAGGTGGGATCTCACCAGAGCAAAGCAGAGGGGAAGAAGCACCTTCCTTGACCTGCTGGTTGTGCCTCTTTTGATGTAGCCCAGGATACAGCTGGCTCTCTGGGCTGCAATGCACATTGCTGGGTCTTGCTGAGCTTCTCATCCACCAAGTTCTCCCCAGGGCCAGTCCTGATTCATTCTCTGCCCAGCCTGTACTTGTGCTTGTGATTGCCCTGACTCAGGCGCAAGACCCTGCACTTTGCTTTGTTGATGTTCATGAGGTTCACACAGGCCCACCTCTAAAGCCTGCCCAGGTCCCTCTGGATAGTATCCCTTCCTTCCAGCATACCGAACCGACACACAGCTTGGTGTCATTGGCAAACTCACTGAGGGTGCACTCGATCCCACTCTCCATGTCACCGACAAAGACATTAAACAGCGTTTATCACTTTCATATGGTAGTCTTGTCTCCCTCAAACAATGTTTAAAAGGAGTCTGTGACATATAATATTAGAGTAGCGGTGGTTCATGGGGCAAGTATATGGGATAGCTCAATCCCAAGGAAAAGATTTTTCCAAATTCTTGTTTAAAACAAGATCTGTCCTATTGGCTTGTGTTACTGTAGCAACTTCTGGAAACAGTTCAAGTCTTAGGCCTCTCTTTTTATAAGGCATGAAAGAAAGCATCACTCCTCTTCAGATTTTTGCAGTACTATGTCCCTTTGGACTATGATTGACTATTGCTCATGTTTTTCTTCTCTCAGCATTTAAATCACTCTAGTCTAGCCACACACTGACTACCATCCACACCAAGGCAAGAATTCCTGTTACTGTTCTCTCTGGGTATCCCATTCCCATTCTTGCTTTTTTTTTTTGCCTGGAGTGCTGGCTGTAATGCTGTAATTCTGACAGGTCCTGGAATTCAAGCCATCTAGTTGATCAATACAGGTGTGGAAGACTTCCAGGTTTGCAGAAAGTAGAGTTGAACACTGAATGGAACACATCTGTTGACTCATGTAATTATCAGAATTAAAAATTCAGGGTCTTTTTAATCAGAAGAGGGTACTGACCACTGGTTAGCAAAAATTAAGAAGACTAGTAATAACATTCCCAAGCCAGAGTATGGATTTCTTTATGAAAATTATAACTTCATCTGTATCCTCAGTGAAAGAAGATATCTATCGTAATAAAAACAATAATGTAGTTGACATTTAACAGAGTGAAATTAAGGTTGTTTCTTCAGAAAGTACATGTAACATTAAAAGTACAAGTCAAAATACTAATCTCTGTGAAAAAAATATATTTACATATTTCTAAAGGCAGCATTTGCTATTCATTCTTAGTATAGCACACCCTTCTCTTCTATACAGGTAAAAATCACTGTAGGGGTTTAAAAATAATAGAATCTATTAACTTGTACAAAATGTGCTTGCCCATCATGGGTTAAAGGATTCCTGGCCTATCAGCAATCTTCCACAGAACTCTTAATATTAAAAATTTTTGCTGCTTACACCGCAAGGGAGAAAGAGCTGACAAAAGCCTTTGGCCAGTGAGATCAAAATTGGGGATGGGGGGAGAAAGGAGAGCTTAGCTTATTTACATTTTTGCTTTGTTAGTAAACTGGAATGGTTGGAGCAGGAGGGAAAAGAAAAAAAAAAAGAGAAAAGTGAAATTAACAGCCACTAAATCTTCTGGCAACAGCAGTGCATTTTGATGATGTGCTGCATCAGCTTCCACTAATGGTTTAGGGTTGAATCAGGCAGTTCAAGACCCAAAGCAGTGCAGGGCATCTCGGCTCATTCTCTGGAAGACCATGTACCCTAATTATAAAGAGGGTTACAAAATAAAGGGATGAGGATTTCTGGCAAAGCAGAATAATGATCTACTTAACAGGAAATCACAATGTCATTTTAAATCAGTAAAAACCATAGAAGAGTAGGATTTCAGCTCTGTAATGAACGCATGTCTGAACAAGAAATGTTACCATTTTGAGAGAAAACTACCTTTCTGAACAAAAGCCATCCAAGTTGCTTTTTCTGCTCTTAGGACTTAATCTCCTCAATCTATTCCAGTAATGTGAATGGAAACAAAGGCTGTATATGTGTGTGCCACTTACCACACAAAATATCCATCCAGTATTTCAGAGAGCACAGGAAGGAAATGCCCACTGAGCTAGGGACATGCCAATGTCAGTGCTGCCTGTGCCAGGCTGTTCCTGTAAAATTTGTGGTGTGCAGCAGAAAGCAAAGAGGGGTGGCAGGGTTGCGGTGGGGTGCAGAGACAGCTTAAACAGGCAGTAGAACAGAATCAGCCATTTGAGAGGTTTAATAGGGGGCTGTTTGTTTGTCTGCCCTTTTGATGTTAAATTAGTCTTCAATTTTGTTGCAAGGAAGGAGGCATCGGGAAAAGGATGCTTCTCTTCCAGTAAACCCTGGGAAAGCAACACCTTTCTTTTAACGGCCTTCCCACCAAGAACCCCCTGCAACATTTTGGCTTTCCCTAGCCATAGCTATCAGCAACACAACAGCTGCTCATTTTACAATGACTTGCTGGAGAGAGAATGATTGAAAGAGCCAATCTATGTCACATTGAGAAGCTGTGGCACAACATTGCAGGAGGTAATAGGAGAGGAATGAGGTCAGAACAAACAAGGGTAGGGTGAGAACGGAGAGGAAAATAGCAGTGAAAAAAATTATTAAAGGCAAGGTGCTGTAGTACACAATCTATGTTTAAAAACGGCCACAACCTGGACACTGCAAAGAGTCACAGAAATGCAAACAAGCTCTGTGCTACTTTTTCATAGGGTCTCATGAATTTGGCTGATGACAAAAGCTACCAAAGTCCTCATGATGAGCACAATGATGGGAACACAGGTGAAAGCACAGTCTAATTCATACAGCTTGAAAGCCCCAGCACCCAGTGGCATGCCACTAATCACAGGGTTTTAAACAACAGCCTTAGTAGTGTCATTTTGCAGCTTGAGAAACGCAGCACCAGCATCAGCAGCGATGCCACTGTGGCTGTCCGTCTCCTCTCCAGAGAGCTCCACATTAGCTCATGCCTGGGAGTTCACCTTTAGCAGAAGAGCTGCAAAGACCAAGAGCTGGTCTATGACAGGGAAACAGTGGCAGGCGATTTTGATTTAGCGCCATTCATAAAAATCCTCCCTGAGAAAGAACCGCTTTTGTGTTTCCGCAGCAGACTAGAAAACCACTGTGCAAAATGGTGGAACAGTTTGTATGAAGAGGCAATGCTTTTCACTAGGAGAGTTACAAAAATGACCTTTTGGGGTTCAGCTGAAATGATGAAGTGACTCTAACCCTGACCTCTGAGCCCACATCCCTTCTATTTTTACCCCATAGGGATTAATTGGTTTCATAAAAGTTACTACTTTCCCCTACTTATTTCCCATTGCCTTATTCCCATCCTTACCTATCATGGCTACAATAAAGATATTTTCAACGTCTCATCATTCTTTCCCTATTCAGCAGTCAGGCTGCTAAAATGACAATCCATTTACTTGCGTGAATCTGACTGTGGGAAAATGTCACCTTTCCAGGTGGACTACCTGGCTTCACTCAACAACAGGGATTGATTTCTGCACCATATACTGGGAACTACCTTGCAAATACAAAGCTACCACACTGCATATAAAACAAATACTCTAGTCCTGACTCTGTCCCCATTATTCCTGCTCCACCTGAGAATGTGCTGCCAGTCAGAGTGGCTGGAGACGTAAGAAATAACTGCAGGGTACGCACACAGTATCAGGGCTTGACATGCTCAGGCCACATTTAGCGTGCAACATTCCTGTGTGTACTGAGTTTACTTCCCTTGGCTTATCTAGTTTAAACTCCGTATACAAACAGGCACAAACATTTTACACAGATACCTTTGTATCGAATACCAAAACACACACTACTCACTGAATTTTAATCTGCACTTGGTTTACAGCAACATTCAAGTCATCTAATGAAAAGGCACCACTGCTTTTGTTTCTTTTAACTGAGTTCCATGTTTACTATTTTGTGGTTTTGTCAGCAACTGATGTTATCCCTAGGGTAATGTCAGCACTCTCGTACTCTTAGGAATTCCCCTAGTATTCACAATGTCAGAAAATAATAAAAAACTTGAGCATCAAAAAGAGAACAAACTCATCTGAAACACCAAATACACATTGTTGCCTGAATTCCTACAAGTAACATGCCAGATGGGTAAGAATTGCAATTAACGCATGCAATTTTTTTTCTTCTGGGTATCTTAACAGATTTCCACAAATTTCTGAATGTACATGAATGTTGCACAAGAGAGCGAGTGGCAAGCATGCCACTGGTATTCTAGTTATTACTGGTGGGGCTGAATTCCTAGTAACTTGCTAACCTTTGCAAATATTAAGAAATATCTCCTACAATATTCTGTATTGGAAAATCTCTACCTTGTCCTGCAGGTCTGTAACCACCATACAAGCTCAAGAGTCAAACCCAACAAAAATATACAGTTAGAACTGAAAAAGGACTCTGTAAATAATAGAGAGATCTGTGACAGATGACACACAAACCAAATACAAAAACTACAATCAAGTATTCACACTTGTTGATGATAAAAACATTTATCAAACAGTTATGTGGAGTCAAGTTCAGAACTTTGAGCACTCTGAGGGCTTGGCAGCTGAAGTTTAGATGGAATTTACTCCTGCATTTTTTTCAGAAAAGTGCCCTAAAAATGCAGGATTCTTAAAAAATAAGTTAACTTGGAATACAGGAGCATTTATTTATGTATTTAATAAACCTATTTATTGGTCTAATTTTGTTTGTTGGAACAAACTTACCTGGAATACTTGCTGGAGAAATAGGACCAGATCTTGACTGGTTGCTTCCAACGGGTGAGCCTACGGGGGAAGGCGAAGGGCCCCCGGGGATGCCAGAGAGATGTGGGGAAGCATGAGGGGAGAACGGAGACTGTGCAGGGTTGCTCTGCTCCCCTTGGCTGCTTGTAGAGCCTGATGCACTAACAGCTGAGCTCAGGGTTGCTTCAGTTCCAGTCGGCAAGTCGTCAATTGATCCAGATAAATCCTGAGGAAAAAGGAAAAAAGAATATAAGTAGTTGCATGAACTAATACTCAAGGTCACAGGACTCAAGACTGGCATGGCAATGAGGTCCATTTGTTTACTTATTGCAGCAGATAACTGAGAGGTTGTCTTTAATGTTGGTTCATGTAGTTAAATGATGGCAGGAAACAAGGATAGTATGCACAATTCTCCACTTAATCTCTAATTCTTTTGAGAAAAAGAACAAGCAAGGGCAACAGATGAATTGGAACCCAATTCACTCAGCATTGAATTTAACCTTTTCCATCTGGATTAAGCTTTCAAAATTAATCCCACAAATTCTGCCTGAGCATACCAAAACTAATGAAAATGATACATCAGTTTCACTTTAACACAGCATTTAATTTTGTGGTTTGCTACCGTTACAATCACAGCTTATACACTTCACTCTAAGCCATTATCACATTGAGAGAAGGGTGTAAAATACGCAGCCCTTCTAACACTCCCATGCAGCTCCTTCGCAGAGACATGATAAGAGGCCCTGTCCTCAGCAGCAGGACTGGACCTGCTGGCCATCAAGGAGCAATGAAGGCTGCTTCTACAGGTCCATCAAATACCAGTGTACAGCTCACAGTTTCTCTTCGATTTCATCTGAATACACTGCTAAACAGTTACTCCATTTCAGTTCATAACTGCTGCATTTTCAATAAGAATTTCCTTTGTAGGTCACAGTACCACTGAATTCTAACTATGATCTACTGGACATACTCCCCGAAGCTGTAACACTGGAGTTATACTGGTCTCTGAATCTGTGGGAGTAATTTGGTTTTTGAAATAATTTTAAGATCAGATATGAAAAACCAACAATGCTGTGACAAAGGAAGCACATGCTCCCCAAATGTCAGGAAAAATGTTAATTTCTAAGTATCACAGAAAGAGCTCATACAAACTGAGAAGTGCCGATAGCTGTGCTTCTGTAGCTATTGGCAAGGCACAAGTTAAGGAGCATGTTACTATTTCTATTAGCAATTTAAAGCACAAACGAGAGACAGAGAGCTACCTCACATATAAAACAGGTCATTAAATGACCTCTGAGGCTTCCAATAACTGGGATGACAGAGTGTGCTACTTTGGTTGATATGGACTTCACTTGTTTGGCTCAAAGAAGTGGTTGCACCATAGACAACAGGACCCTTTGTCCAAGCAGCATAAAAAGAACTGGGCTTTGCCTGAGCAAAAAGCTCAGGAAGCAAAGTCTTAGTGCTGTCTAATTTTCACAACAAAAAATAAAGTTTTTTAGAAGTGACAGAACATGGATGAAATGCACGTGGTGTACTTTGAGTTAGAGTCCTGCCTGATGATGACTACCTCCATTAGGAGGAAGGCTCACGGCCAGTCTGCCACAACAGACAGACATAGTCTTCCAAGGCATGGGAAGAGAAGGATTAAGGGTTTAAGCACTGATAACACTCATTAGAAGCCACCTGGAATACTACATGTTATTCCTCCTTGTCCATTAGGTTAGTAAATACGGCCTACCTGACTTAGCTCTCTGCAGGACATCTTGCAGACCTTATTTCCAATGAATTTCCACAAACACTTCGAGAACAACTCTCACCACAGTTAAATTTTGCTTTTTCTGATGAGCATGAAATTGTACGTGTATTTCATTAGGCACAAGAAATGCAAAAATTAAATCTGAAACTTTGGTCTATGTGTGGAAGCCGTATTCACTCGAGAGTACACTTCCAAATCCCTACAGTGGAAATTTAATTGTGAAATGGGCAATATACTATTTTCATTATTTCTTTTTTGAAACTATTAACTGTAGAAAATGTAAACAAGAAATAACACTACTTGGTACTGTGTAGAGCATCACTAGACATTTTTCATAGTAGAATGTATCTGGCAAACAGGTAAGCAATTACTGCTTTTCCATAGATAATATGGTATTCTTCTAAATGGAATCAAATCGCTGCTGTCGTGATGTGTAACAAATGCTGCAGGAAGTGCTGATAAAACAAATGCTGCTAAAAAGCATGTAATAAACCCCTGAAAACTGAAGGTAGCAGAATAGAGCCTATTCTAAAGGAATAAAAATTCTGTTTAAAAAACCAGATAGGCACCCAACTGATAGAAGATATAAAAAAACATACAGGTTAACATTTAGAGTAACAAAGATTTTAAAAGGATGAGGAGTAAAGCCTTCATTTGTTTCAGCAAGAAACTTCTGGTACTTCAAGGTACTTCAAAAAATGAATTTGCCAGGATAATGAAAAAGCCATGAAGCAGCACTGTCCATGATGAAATTATCTGCTGTTCCCAGACGAAGGTAAAACTCGGGGACAGGAATGAAATTCACTTTTCCCATCAGGTTGCTGATGTTCTCCAGCCTCTTGCAAGGGTGAAGTGACTGATGAGTTCCAGGCATTTCCTCAAGTGTCTACCTTTCAGGGACTTCCTCATCCACCTGATGCAACTCCTCCACAAAAGTGGAAAAGAAAGAAAAAAACTTGCATGACGTCAGCCTATTTAAAGAGTGAAGCCATGCCACCCTCCACAGCGCAGGCTGAGGGAGCACACTGGCAGGCTCAGCACAACCCCAGAGCCTTGTGTAAGCACTGGGATTCCCTCCCAGGAATGGGGAACTTCACAATCAGCTCATCTGCTGAGTATGCTATGGTAGTGTTCACTCATCAGACCCATCAAGAAAGCCAAGAATGAGGTTGCTCTCAGGATGGCATGAAAGGTTGTTGCCTCTCTGGAAGCCTGGGTTGTGCTATACAACCTCCTACCTTGTATTACAGTGGGCAAAATGAGAAATATCAGCTGTCCTGCACAGAGTGGTTTTTTGGTTTGGGTTGGGGTTTTTTTGGTTGGGCTTTTGGTTTTTTTCCTTACATACACTTTGAGGCCTCACTTAGTCTTCTGATGTAGAAAGCTTGAGTAGGCGAGCAACCGGGAAACTTCCAGCATACAAAGGCTTTAGAAACACCTCTGTTATCCATAAAAACTAATTAGGAAATTAAAGAGAAGCAGAAGAAAGACTTTATGTGAAACACCCGGACAGAAAGAGCAGAAGTCGATTAACTGTTCACCTATTATTAGTATTTTAATGCTTGCTTTTACCTCATTTTAACAGAACAGTAATGAAGTTGTGCAAATTCCACATCATAAACATTTATTTATATATAAAATACTATACATGTACACATTATATCCATAAATTACATGGATACACTTGCATTTACTTAGCATATCCATATGTAAAGCTATTAAAAAGCCTACTAATAAGAGAAATTCACAGCGGTTTAGGCATACAGCCTAGTTAACAAAGAAGCTCTGTAACTAATACTCCTCTAGAGGACAATTTAGTCAGCAGGGCACCAACTCTATTCTTCTTTTATAAGTACTATCAGATCTATGATGCCTGTAAAGAACAGAGAGACTTTACTTACTGCACCTCATTCAAACCAAGGCACCTTCAAGCTACAGTGCTTCCATTTATCTTGTTGGAAAGTTGGCAGGTAGGTAATTGCTGGGATTCTTTTAAGGGGCTGGAGTCCCCTTACCCTAAGGCATGCCTTAAATTTTTTCTCATTTCGGAGGCTTTTTCTGGAAAGCACTCATTTCTTCTAGTAATATCTAGCAAGTTTAGAATTACCAGAAATCTCATGTTTCTTATAGATGTTCCTTGTAGAGCAACCTTATTATTCTTATCTATAGTATTATTATGACCATATTTTCAAATGTGGCATCAAATCTAAGGAAAAAATGAAGGACAAAATATTCCCCTCCATCGCAAATGCATACTACAGTTCTGTATTTCCTATGTCAGCTTTATAGCCTGATAGTATTATTCAGGACACCCCAACCAGCTTTCAAAGTTCATTTCTAGACAATACCTTGATTACAAACTGAAATGTCCCCATGCAGGATTTATCTCTTTTAGCAAAGTGTTTTATCTCCAACTATCTTCACTTCTAGCCTCACCTTCCACCTATGCATGACCTTTTTTCTTGTCCCTCTGACAAGTACAAGAGCTGAAATGAACAGTATCACATTGTGCTTGGGATTATAATGTTATGCCTTCCTGGTGGTACGATCTTATCAGACTGACAGAAGAGACACTCTTGAAATAGAACACCAATTTACTATTGCAATGTGGGCAGCAAGGGGTAGAAGGAAGCAAACTGCTTATATAGAGCCAGTAAACCCAGAGTTAAAAAGAAAGCACAAGGAAAAAAAAATACAAACACCCATATAAAATAGAATAACATTAACCTACTCAAGGAACATGCCTAGATCCAATAAACAGCAAAAAGGAGACTACAGTAGCTCAGTAATACCACCATAATTTTACACTCTTGAGTGTGACAGGATTACAGCATTCACCATGGAGCAAAAATTTACACCACAAACACTTCATGAACTTAGCAGCTTTGCTCAGCAATGTCTCAGCAGACATAAAGCAAGATTTTACTAAAGGGATCCCTTGCTAAATACTTACAGTTTAGAAAGCATAAGCACCTTCTCTGAAATCAGTAAAAAGAAAAAGTGTGGGGCACCTTGCTAGAGGAGTTCCTATGCCACTAAATTACAGCCCCAGTTCACTAAGAAGTTACTGCAGCTTGGGGCTCTCTTGCAGGGATTGTGCAGAGGACATACTACCTGTGATTTATTTAGATTTTCCAACTACTGCCTAACAGTTCTTTTATGCTCAGGGAGTAGAAGCAAAACAGAGGTATTCTGTAGATATTAAAATTAAAGACACACAAAACCTCTCTGTCTCCAAGAAGCTGAACCCCCCAGACTCTACCCTACCAACCATTTTGCTAGCATGAATCCCAGCGCTACGCATAGGGAACTGCATCAACTGACTGGCTGCAGGATCAAAGCCCTGCTCATTCCATTCAGGCCTTCCTGCAGTATTTCATTAGGATGGAGGATGGTGCTGCTCAAAAGACAGGATTCCTGCATGAAATATCCATCTCTTTAACATGAATCACCACTTTAGAAGTAAA